GATGAATCTGTTAATTCTGAGGCATTCTTTGATACATGTGATTCTGTTTATTATTTTCTTCTTATTTGGCAACTTGAGAATTTTGAAGTCTTATATACCTAAAAACCTTCATACACGTGTACTTTCCCTGTACTGTCACAAGACTTGCAAAATATTACTCCTTAATTGGGATCAGCCAATAACTTAATGCCGTCTCGTATACGTATTTGGTATTATACTGAGTTCAAAAAAAGTAAATATTCATGAAGAGATTATATACTGAATTAACGCGTTTAATTCACGTGTATAATGACAATTCTAAAAAAAAAATTCTAAGCTTAAACCGATTACGTATTACATGATATTAAACATACATGTTCATGGACTTTTCGGTTACGTAATACTCGATTAGATCAATCAGAGTGCAGAACCAGAGACGTCAAATCATATGAATTTGCTACCTCTAGTGCGAAAACTACTCATAAATTATAAAAATTACTTTATCGATAAATCATTTTATAAACCGGGTTTTAAATCATGCGCATTTGATGATCTTAAATATCGATATATTGTAAATCCTTTCAAGTGTTAACTTTTAAAACTTACAAAATTATCAATTTTCTCATTCAAGTTGCTACAACTATAGCACTTTTATTGATAGTATCATCAGTCAAGACAAGCCAGGTAAATTAACTCGAGACTAAAGTTTCTGAATTAAAAATGTCGACATAAAATTTATTGATTGAATCATTGATTAAAGCTATTAACTTTACTCCAACGACTGTTGAAATTATCGAATATGCAAGAAACAAAAATGAAACAATTCAATTCAAGAAGTAATCGAAGCTGCTAAGATCGTGAAATTTTTGGTTATAGCATTAGTTTACTATGCAAAAGTGCTTTTTTGTTATTGTAAAGAGCAATTTTCATTATTCTTCATACGCTTATTTTAGCAACAATCTAATCAATTGATATAATGGATAAAGTAAACCAAAATACCTTTATATGTTATAAATTTTTGGTTCAAAATCTAATAAATCTTTTATTAAATGACAACCTCGCATCATTAACAACTTACAAGGCAAAGCAGATTATATTATCAAAAGCCTTAAATGTAAAGAAATAAAACCGCAAAAAATAGTGACAAGTATTATTTGCCAGTAGTGTAAAATTTAAAAAAACTAATAGCAGTACTCATAATTGTAACTAATTGCCCCACCAACCTTAAATTCAAGAAAAAAGTTCTGTTATCAGCAAAAACAGCGGATAAAATTGTGATGTTACTGTTGAAACAAATCAGTCCTAAAAATAAAACTATGCAAATAATGATAAAAGTAAAAATAATGTATTTGAATTTCTTCGAGTTTTGAGAGTCTTGAGGATTATTGTTGTTGATGATAACTGTTGCATTATTCACGTTCACTTCTTCATTTTGTTCATTTCATATAACACAATTTTCATTTTGCGGCTCATCGCTAATATTTTGAAAACAGTGGTTCTTTAAAATACTACAAACTTGACAATTACAATTTCTAAAGTCTTGTAAGTGTTGATTAGTCGTATTTGAGGTTTGAGACGTGAATGATTGTTGTCTTTGGAGGTTATTATTGATTTGGATGTTGGCTTGTACGGGAGTCAACGGGGGTTGAATCGAGTAATTTCTAACTGAATTTGTGGCTTGATGATTAGGGTATTGAATGTGCTGATTAGTCGCAGGTGGAATATTATTTATATCATTAATATTGTTTATCTCAGCGATTTGAGGAAGTTGGTCAGGTCCATTAATAAGAGAGTCGGTACGAGGGTAGTGAGGTCCATTCAAAATAAGTGGTTGCTGAGTTGGTCCATTTAATTGAGGATGCTGAACATGCCCAATGTAATGAGAATGTTGTTGAAAAGATCCAATATGATGGTTGTGACCAACGAAAGGAGGTTGTTGATTAAATTGGTTAGGGCCATCAAACTCATTGATTTGAGAGTTCGGTTCATTGTGAACTGAGGTTAGTACTAACTCCCTTCTTGCATATCTTGCGTACAAACAATAACCACCGTTACATTCAGAACAGCTTTCAGAGTAATTTCTTGACATATTTTTATTTTTTGACAAAGAACTATCTTATAGCTGTAGGATTTGGGCTCTTATATAAAATTTTAATGATTATTTCTTCTACGTACAAATTTTTTGAAAAGCTGCACTTTACTATACGTTACGCTATTTTAAATTGATCTCAACCCCTGAGCTACCTCAAAGGTCAAGATGCGAGTAAAGGATTTCATCAAATATTCTGTTTGAACACACTGGGTCAGTCAATAAACTTACCAGTTTTGGTAAAACAAAATATCTTATGCATGTGTAATAATCTTTTTGAAAAATCACAACAAGTGCTGTGTAAATTTTGCACTCAGAGGGGGGCTCAATGGATGAGCTACCATAATGGACCATTCAATAGACTTGCTTTTTTTGACGTAATTGCATGTAAGATAAATTTTTCGGGCTTCAAAGTCGCATGATTCAGTAAAAATATCGCTATTAAAATAAAGAGTCTAATTACAATCATATCTGATATTGATTATGTCAGATATGGATTTATATACATCGCGTGGCTTTTTTATACTAACAAATCTTTTTCTGATGTGGAAATCGCGTGAAATTCTATTTGTTTTGCGTGATGCTCTAAAAAAAGATGAGGTCATGGCAATTGACTAAGAGATTATCTTTTTTTGAATTATACAATATCGATATCAAATGAATTTTTGTATATCAATATGAAAACTTACAAAATATATGTATTTAAGCCAAATTTGTCACCAATATAAAAAATTATTCTAATTTTAAGTTCAATTCAGGTTTATGTAATGCAAAATTATAGAAATTACATGATTTTCATTGATATTTAATAGTTATAAAACCAGTTTTTAAAATATTTCGATTTCAGGAATGAAAACCGGATTATATGCATTACTTATGTATTACTAAAATTTACTTTATCGATATATATACATATATTTATTTCTATTTCAAGAATGACGCGTATATGGTACGAATTTTTACCTGTGATTGGCTAATTACGCGGGATCCAAATGAGTATAATGACCTAAGTTACACTTCAGACAATAATAATGTAAATATTAGTTCATGTTGCGGTCAATTCTGAAAGCAAAATAGGTTTAGTAAATTGGTATTTATTAAAATTCATTTTCAAGCATATAGTATTTTCAATCACGTTATAAAGATATTATAAATTTTTTTTCTTTCAAAATTAAAGATTTATTATAAGAAAATTCTAAATACAAATGTTATTGTACTGACAAGACCAGTCAAGGTAATGCACAAACTTCAATGGATGTATAACGGTCAACCAATAATAATTTTGGTCGGAGAGCTAATGCCGGGCAGAATTAAGATTAGAAATTGTAAGGATCCGAAAAGTTCTGAAGAGAAAATGAACGAACATAAAGACGAACAAGGTCATGCCGATAATTTCCGATTGAAAAATTTTAATAAAATTTATTACGTATTCGTTCCATTTTCGCCCCAAGGTCTGCGCATATAAGAATGCTTTGAAGAATTCATATTTGATATGCAAACTACAAGAATACATTATTTGATTTTTGCGGTCACGTGTAGATCATGACTCTTGCTGTTAAAACTGATAACGTGATTTGATACCCATGAATATGCCTGTAATGTAAGATATAATAATGTAATCAAAAGGTCTATAACTTGCTTCTGGCAAGAAGCATTCAAAGACACATTTAATTCAGAATCACCACCTAATAAAAAGTTATTTATACTACAAAAGCCATATATACAAAAAAGATATATATAAAATACATGGTGTCAAAGATGTGTAGGAAACCATCAACTAGAAATTTATCATTGTATTTTATTTATTGATTTTTAGTTAATCATATTAATGGTTATCATTTGTCATAAAATAAATCGTAATTTTTTGACCAATCATCTTGAAAACACATAAAAAGCCAATGTCATTTTCCATGTTCAAATAGTAGTCATAACAAAAATAATAAAGAAACAAAATATTAAGTGCAAATGAAGTAATAAAAATAAAAAGTCACTTAATAAATTTTGCAATGATTATTAACGTGATTAATGCTTGTCTTCAGTTTGCTATTTACTTCTTGTTCAAGTTCGTTGGCATCATTTTTGCTAACATCACTTATTTCTGGTCCATTTGTTGGTTCACTGGCCGAAGAACATTCAAATGCAATTGTATCTATATAAAACTAAATATTAATTTCTTTCTTATATTTATTGTTTAATTATAAATTCTTACTTTGAGAAGAATCTAATTCATCTCCACTTGAAGAATCCAATGTCAATGAGGATAATGACTGCAACGAAAGATTCAAGCTATCAAAATAACATTGTTGATTTGCTGATAGGGGAGTTCTCTTTGAGGATATGACATTATGCTAATTTTATTCGTTTTGCTCGAATCATAAAAGCAAAGGAATTAAAATTTATTTTATTTTATTGGAACGTTGCTCTGAACTACCACAAGAGTCAGTTATAAATTATAGTTTTGACTAATCACGTGTATCTGTAAATCATGACTCAGAGGTTGAGTCAACTTAGTATTTAACAAGATAAAAACATATGGAGTTGAGTCAATAGAAATCAAGCAAATCGAAAATTTTTCAAAATTGAGATTTTTTGATAAAATAATAGAAGGTAATATGCTGATTATTTTTTAATTAATAATGAAATTTAATTATCATAATAAAATTTTACGATAAATCCAGTTTTAAGTTTTTTGTACACAAAAATTGTAATCCAGAAATCGTTCCGGAAATGTAAATCGATCTACTCGATTTTGTGTAACATGCTAAGTCACAGAAATCAAGCAAATCTATTAGATAAATTTGCTTGATTTCTGTTAACCCAGCATGTTACACAAAAATTAAGTTGATCTTCCGAAATTACTAATTTGATAGGATTATATCGGATAAGGGTCGGATATTGTTTACTAAGTGTGATACAAAAACGTGATTTTCTCAAAATTAGTGATTTACCTATTTGCTGGATTTCTGTTGACTCACCCCCATATAATGTTTAAGTCAAATCCCGATAAAATAAATTAAAACGTTTATGCCAAATTTGGATTAGATACTAATATAAAAATTGCCGTACACTACTCTAATTTAAAGAAAGAAGACCAGCTTACAATGCATTATTATATTAACGAATCACTTAACCACTTTTGAATTTTACAATACAATACAATTTATACGTGACTAGCGTTTAACCAGTTTAACATCTCTAATCATGACTCAATTGTTGTGTCAACTTATTATCTAACAATATAATCTAGTTTACATAAATAATAGAGTATCAATAAATATTAACTTGTATATATTAAAATAAATATATGCGCTTTATAAAATATAATTGAGCAGTCTCATTTGTATACCAACCAGGTATTTAAAGCATAACCTTGAGCAATAAACGGTAACGATAATGGACACAAATCTAGTAAAATGGCCAATCAAAATTTAAGATCAGGTGTAACATAAAATCATAAGTTTTGTTATTCGTCATTTTTTCAACTCGAAGTTGCCTGACGAGATGGTTTCGTCGTTCGTCATTGACAAATATTTCATTCGTCACCCATCATTAGTTAATATTATATAAGTTAAAACTTTTGGCCGAAGTTTGCTATTGGCCATTGGCTGCTGGCTATGTGCAAAAATTGCCAATATAATGAATTTAACAAATTTATAATAATAATATTCTTTTTTATATCCTTTTCAAAAAATTTTCTTTTCAACATTTTTCAACATTCATTTTTTTTTAAACTTTAATAAAAATAATTAATAAACTACAAACTAAATTAATTGGCCATTAAACTCAATTACTGTTTCAATCATTCCTCTATTTTTACTAAACAGTTCGGTATATATTCCTACAAAGTTAATATTCTTAGCGTATTTAATAAAAATGTCATTATATATCTCAAAGGGAATAATAGAAACACTGTAAATGTTACGCTTAACCCGCTTATATATTTTATGATTAAATTTATTTCTTCTTCCAGTATACATATTAATATATGTAAATTTATCCAAATCAAGAATCTTATTAATAAATGCATTAACTATTTGATGAGATTTATATCTGTTTAGCATCTTAGATGCTAGGCGTACACCATCCCAATTATAATATTGTGTTACAACTCTCGCTGAAAAATTGTCTTCTCTTGAGAGATCTGTTACTTCCTAACCGCTTAATAAATGGGTTACTTGAATATGCTGATGATCGACAAGTTTGTCAAGTGTACGCCTGTATCGTGTAGTATCCTCGATGTATGTGTCAAAACGGTCAGTATAAATATAACGTAAAGTTATAGCCTCCTTTACACATGTTTCTTCATCGATTAGATCACTAACATTGACATGAACATTATCGAAACCATTAACATGATCGAAGCTATCCAGATAATAAAGATTCACTACACGTTCAATCTTCATCACCATGATCATCTCTCTATCTCCTACACGTCCATATGGTAAGCTTCGAGTAGCAGCTGACATAAAATCGTATTTAATTGGTTGTCGACCTTCTGGTATCATATCTTGTAAAAACATATTAGCTACTACATCGATACTATCATCTGTAATCAACTTGAACTTGAAGTATTGTGTTGACATCCAAGGTTGACCGTCGGATGTTGAAATTCGTGAAGGTCCATTCGATGTACCTCTAAAGCTTTGTGAACGTGGTAAACGTGGAAATGGGTACATGTTATTATTTAATTTGTTGAATATTATTAGGGATGGAAACCAAGTACATGGTTCTCATATATATATTTTTTGCCGGCGGGTGTGAATGCCAATTGTAAAATATTACAAAAATAAATATGAATACATTTTATTTATTCATTTATACTTATTAAATTTACTATACATTAGTCTGGCCGAATTATTACATGTATATTTTTAAAGTAATTATATATTTTATAAGGCTTTTTTTTTAATCGGCTGGTGTTAAAATCCGAATTTATTGTACAAAAAAATAAATTCGGCTTCGAAATTTTATTTCAATCGAAATCAAAGAATATCATTGATTTAGATAATATAACGAAAATATACAGTTATTTTATAATTGTAATTTAGCAAATGATATGTACGTAGTGCAAAATCATGTGAATATTAGGTCTTTCCTTTTGACTTACCAGGATCATCAACCAATCAACATCAACAATTTTTTAATTAAAAAAAATATACAGTATATATTTTTTCTCATTCAAAGAAAGATGGGTAAGGCCATTCGAAGTTGATTCTTCGGTTAACATCACTTTCTAGGACTTCCAGGAGGGGAGGAGGGGGTAAAATGAAACGAACATCTAAAAATGAACAAATATGGGCCAATTTCATTGGTCGATGTTAATCAAGTGATCGGCGAGAGTTATCCAGCGTTTTGATTGGTTGTTCATTTTCCGGTGGGAGACTTCAACTGGGGGTGATGTTAACCGAAGAATCAACTGCAAGCGGCCTAAATACAATATACTACATTTATGAGTTAGTAGTTTAGGTTTTGCAGAAATTTTGCAGAGCTAACCAGTGTTACATCGCTGAAAGCATGTGAAATTGGTTGACCATTGCAATTTAGTTATTTTCTACGACAATGTATGAGTATTTAACATGTAAGCACAGTAAAGTCCTAATGATGCCAAGGCCACATCCAGCAAAACTTTTAAATAAAGAGGAGAACTAAACTAATCAAGTTCTATCTAATCTCGAACCAAAGAATTCACGTGATAAACTGGAAAATTGATTGGAACTTCGTCGTAGACTTTTGATATAAAAATGACTCACTTTAAGTCATTCATGCAAAAGAAAGCTTTGATATTAAGCTTTCTGTTGACTGTTAAATCATCAAGATAGCTTCATAATTCATAAAGATATGGGCTGTGAAATTAAGATTTGACCATATGAGAGTTTAATTTATTTACTAAATAAAATCGAGATGACTTTTACTCTTAGAATAATTTTTGACAAGCAAGTAAATTGATTTAGGCCATACATGATTACCAAGCCTAAACAAGTTTAATAATACTAGAAACGTCTAAGACGAGATTTGTCTATGCGTGGTAATATTTATTTTGATTAGTGCGTTAGAATACAAAGAATTCATAAGACGAACATTGTCTATGTGCAGGTTTATTTGTTGGTAGTGAGAAAATTACACAATTAACTTCTAAGACAAGTTTCGTCTATATATAGTGAGATTTCTGTTGACTGGTGATCTAAACAAGTCTAATACTAGAACGTCACAAAGAATTCATAAGAAGAATGGTGTCAATATGCAGGTTTATTTGTTGGTAGTTAGAAAATAGTGATGTAAACCGTAAACTATATATAATATAATGATCAACGGGTTACTTTAAAACTAATAACCCGTAGATTATTTATATTACAGTATTATCTGTTTAATATTTAGTTCAAATCTCTAA